TCCATCCCTTCCTCCCTTCCAGGACCCTCAGCTCCATCCCTTCCTCCTTTCCAGGACCCTCAGCTCCATCCCTTCCCATCCTTCCAGGACCCTCAGCTCCTTCCTTCCTGTCCTTGCAGGACCCTGAGCTCCATCCCTTCCCGTCCTTCCAGGACCCTGAGCTCCTTCCTTCCTGTCCTTCCAGGACCCTGAGCTCCATCCCTTCCAGGACCCTGAGCTCCCCCCCCTCCTTCCTCCCAGCCCCTGTTCAGGAGGGTGGGATGTGAGCACAGGTGGAAAAAGGCAGCAGGAGCTTCTCAGTCCCCCACAAAGCAGGGTTTCCTCCTTCCCAGAACGTTGCTCCACACTTCCCTGCTTGGTTCCGCTCACAGCTGTGCCCATTTCTCCATCCCCATCCATCTCCCCCCCACAGCTGCCCCACGTAACAACGCAGCAGCTTGCGAAAACCAATACTAGACCACTAACCTTCAAATTAACAAACTGTAATTTTTCTCCAAAGATACATTTTCCATACACATCCATCATACACTGTAACAAAAAAAAGCAGTGTACATGAAATAAGAAAATAAATTAAATCCATAGCATAGGTAAGGAGGACGCTCTAGACTGGAGTAGAGTCGAAAGTTTCCAGCGATACAAGAGGCTCAAAAGTTTGTTTTAATAAAGAATGCCTGCTAACAAGGGTCCAGCAAGTGTTTTAAGTCAGTCCGACTGCTTAAACAGTTTTCTTTTAAAGTTGATAACAGCCATTATTGTCCTGCAACAGGCAGAGCTATGATATCCTGGGAGAAAGCCGGAGAGGCGCGGTGAGATCCGAGCACAGCGTTTGGGAGCGAGCAGATGGGTCCCGCAGCGTCTGCGCTAGCCGTCCTCCTTGGGCGGTGTGTACCAGCCTGAAAGGAACACAGACGGGTGAGGGATGTGGCTGCACAGGAATTTAACATCTTTATTAATGACATCGATGAAGGAATTGAGTGCACCCTCAGCAAGTTTGCTGACGACACCAAGCTGAGCGGTGCGGTTGATACGGTGGAAGGAAGGGATGCCATTCAGAGGGACCTCGACAGGCTGGAGGGCTGGGCTCGGGTGAACCTGATGAGGTTCAACACGGCAAAGTGCAAGGTTTTGCATTTGGGCCGGAAGAACCCCAGGCACCTGTACAGGCTGGGAGGAGTGGGACTGCAGAGCAGCTCGGCAGAGAAGGACCTGGGGGTCCTGATGGACGAGAGACTGAACATGAGCCAGCAGTGCGCTCTGGCAGCTCGAAAGGCAAATGGGATCCTGGGCTCCATCAGGAGAGGGGTGGCCAGCAGGGACAGGGAGGTGATTGTCCCTCTCTACTCGGCTCTTGTGAGGCCCCATCTGGAGTACTGTGTCCAGGTGTGGAGCCCTCAGTACAAGAAAGACAGAGAGATTTTGGAAAGGGTCCAGAGGAGGGCGACTAAGATGATCAGGGGGCTGGAGCACCTCCCCTATGAGGACAGGCTGAGGGAGTTGGGCTTGTTCAGCCTGGAGAAGAGAAGGCTGCGGGGTGACCTCATTGCAGCCTATCAATACCTGAAGGGAACCTACACCCAGGAGGGGAGTAAACTCTCCAAAAGGGCTGACAACAGCAGGACGAGGGGAAATGGATCCAAGTTGAAGGAGGGAAGATTTAGGTTGGATGTTAGGGGGAAGTTCTTTACTAGGAGAGTGGTTAGGCCCTGGAACGGGCTGCCCAGGGAGGTTGTGGATGCCCCGTCCTTGGACGTGTTCAAGGCCAGGTTGGACGGGGTCCTGGGCAACCTGATCTGAATGTGGATGTTTGGTGGCCCTGCCAGGCAGGGGGGTTGGAACTACATGATCCTTGAGGTCCCTTCCAACCCGGGTGATTCTGTGTGATTCTGTGAATGCAAGCCCTACGACCTGGAAATCCCCAGCAGGAAACAGCACAAATAGGCCAAGCTCCACTTGCAGAGGGCTCTGCACTGCCCAGGAGGGCACCCGGCTCGCTGGGGCGCTTTCCCCTCCGCACCGAACGGCGCCACGCGGTTCTGGAGCAGCAAAGAGAAAGGTTCTCCCCATCCCTCCAAGCCTCACCGTTCTTCTCGTGGATCTGAACCAGGGATTTGTAGGACTGCTGTGCTCTTGTCAGGCTGTACTGATTCTGCAAGGGAAGTCAGGGGGGACGGTCAGTTCAAAGCAGCTGCAGGCTTTTCCCCACGCCAACCGTGCTGACACGTGGCCGGCTGCCTTCTCACATCAGCCCCTCCAAACCCCTTTTGAGCCCACTCAATGCAGGGGGTATTCCCCACATGCCTGCCCCTCTCCTTCCCAAAGACTCTCGTCTTTGTTGATGGGGAGGAAGGAGCTCAGGGTCCTGGAAGGGAGGAAGGGATGGAGCTCAGGGTCCTGGAAGGGAGGAAGGGATGGAGCTCAGGGTCCTGGAAGGGAGGAAGGGATGGAGCTCAGGGTCCTGGAAGGATGGGGAGGAAGGGATGGAGCTCAGGGTCCTGGAAGGACGGGAAGGAAGGAGCTCAGGGTCCTGGAAGGGAGGACACTCGTGCCCCCAAACACCCCCAGGCACTGCTCAGTGTTCCTTGGTTCTTCCCAAGCCCTGCCCAGCTGCCCCACGTTGGCCCTTACCTTATTGGCTCCAAATTGCACTCGTGCTTTCCCTTTCACCAGAGTTGCACTGATCTGCATGATCACAGACTCGATGGAGTATGCGCTGCTCCAGCCCTGTGGGTCAGAGCACACACAGCAGAGAGATGAGCGTGGATGGGAGCAGGGGGCTGAGCTTCCCAGAGGCAGAGGAAGGGCTTCTCCAAGCCCTACGCAGGCAGCACAAGCTCTCAGCTGCTGGCAGATGGCAGATTTGGCTGCCAGAAGGGTGAGAGCAGCTACCCAGGAACCAGGCTTTGAGCTTTGGGACTCACCTGTTTGGTAAGCAGCTCCATGCAGATGGCACCACCACCCAGGACATACCTTGGGGAAGGAACACGGGCAAAGTTATGCCAGAGATGGATGCAGCCTCGCCTCCCCCCC